GATAAAAGACATGCTGTGGAAGAGAGACAGAGATTAATAACAGATATGATTCAATGCAGAGAGGTCTGCTAACACATAGTGAGTGAAGAAGAAACACCCAGTGCATCATGGGAATCCCCGGCAGCCTACGTCTATTGCAGCATAACTAAGGGAGGATTCAGGGTCACCTGGTCCAGCCCTAACTATATGCTTTAGCAAAAAGGAAAGTCCTCCATCACGATCTCTTCACACCTCCAGTCATTTGATCCACAGTCTGATTAATCACACATCAGTCAGTAATCAATAACAGGCCCTGATGCCCTTTAATTCAACTTTCTGAACATTGTTTTGTGTTTAAGCTTTGAGTTTTGATCTGAAGCCTCCCCTGTGAGTGAGAGGAGAGTCTGTCAGAGCTTCAGCTTCTCCTGTTTCAGTGCTGGATTTTCAAATTAAAGCGAGAGTAACAGCATCTTTATGTATCTCAGGCACAGCAGCCCCACCCACCTGTCCAAACCTTCAGTCAGAAGAAACTGAGTGGAGAGTCAGTATCAGAAGGATCGTTTTGAACTGTGAGTCATACAAAGCTGTACTGGGATAAACATACAGCACTTAAATGAACATGTTTGAGGAATGCTTTGCTGTGATCTATCCTTGTTAGGAACTTGTTCCTATTAAAAATGATCTCTTCCAAAAATGTCTCTGTCAATGTCAGCGAGAAACTGTGAGGATCAGGAGCAGGAGGAGTTTCAGACGATGAAGATTTTTGTAATGGGAGGAGAAAATGTTGCATGACGGTGAGCTGAGGAAACCTGCAGGGTTGCAGGGATAACGTTTGTGCTCCATCTCTGTCCTCATTACAAGTGTTCAGGCTTGAGGAGCACTGAGAAGATGTTCATTAAAACAACACATGAAGAAGCTGCCGTCCTCGGTCCAAGTCATTTGACTCCTCCCCCCCCGCTGATGAGGCGGAGCCTAACACCCCCTAGTCCTCAAAGGGAGCGGGGTTTGTGTGACAGACAGAGAGTGGCAGAGAGGGATAGAGCGTCGGAGCTGCTGCTGCTCTTTCATCAATAATCAGTCATCATCATCTACAGATCCACAGGGGACGGTCAGCAGCTGGAAGGTAAGACTGCTGGTTTGTGTATTTAAGGTCAGAGTTGGCAAAAACAGCAGATTTAAGAGTGAGGAGAGTGTTTTCAGATTACTGGAGCAGATTTAACGGGATGAAGAGGAGCTTCAGATTAACAAAATCCTTTAAACTGGGCTAAAATATGTTTCTATAATCACACTTCTCCAACGTTGTACGTTTGCTTCATAGTTCAGAGGGTAACATAAAGAGATGCTCTGCAGCAGCACTCTGAGATAAATCCTTCAAACTGAGCAGTAACGTTACCAAACTGATTATTGGAACACGACTGACAGTTACAACCAAATTTCCCCTTGTGGGACAATTAAAGGATTATTCTATTCTATTCTATTCAGTTACATTTTGATTCATTCGTCTCAGGATTTTATTAAAAATTCAAAGTGAGCTGAGAACTCATTCACGCCCTGATAGGTTTTAATGACATCATCAATATTAAAAGACAGGTGCTTACTGTAAACTTTCCTTCTCTTTGGCTCAAACAATCCCGCCAGCAGCTCCTGCCACTCACATCTTTTTGCTGGGCACGCCTGTTAACCTCAGAGATGAACTTCCTGCGTCTCCCGAGCATGCTCACTGCAATCATCCTTTCCCTGTGGGAGACGTCCGGCTGCGGGGCAATGACGCTGAACTCTGTGGCGCTCCTTCAGGTGTCAGGAAGAACACGAGGAGGAGGAGCGGGTGTCTACTCCACCCAGAGCAGGAGGAGGAGAAGCTGGGTGTGGAACCAGTTCTTCGTCCTGGAGGAGTACACGGGAGACGAGCCGCTCTACATCGGAAAGGTACGAACTGTAGATTTACAGATTAGTCTAAATGACGGCTCCAGGCCAGGGCCCGTGCAGGGGCCCGTCCAGGTGCCCGTCCAGGTGCCCGTGCAGG